AAGCAAGGTAAGGCGGTAATACTGAGAGGCATTACCGAAATAGCGTGCAAACAGCTCAGCTCAGTTTATAGGATTCGGTTCAGTAAACGCCAGTTCTCCCATTCTTTCTTTCCACCCAGTGTTTGTTATTGGTCTGTCCTTAAATGCTCTCAAGTTAATGAGTTCCCTTGGTGCTCACCGGTTTTTACAAATCTCAACTGAAGTAAATGAATACTGGAATGAATCGTTAACACCGGGCATAGTATAATTATTTACATTTTTCAAAGATGATTTTTCAACCTAGCAGTCCTTTCAGTATATTCTGATCAGCTTTAAAAATGTTTAATATATTAAAAATGTGTGTTTGGAATGTCTTAAACATCGTAGTACTCATCTCTCTCAGGGCCTTCCCTTGTTAAGAACTCAGCAAATACTTTTTAAGCTTATGTACCACCCATTATATTGAGGAGAAGACATATCCTTGGAGGTATATGCTATCTACCTATATCCTACAAATGCTTCTTTTTCTTCTTTTGTGACAAAGAGTGATAAGCACCTCAATTTCACTTTTGCTTTATAAAACTTATGTTACATCAACAATCATGTTGGCTAAAGACCAATTAACTGGAATCTCCCTAGGTATTCACTGGTTTTCCTGACACCACACACCCATTAATCCTTTCTTTTCTCCAGTGGTTGTTTCTTATTCAACATCTACTGCCCTGTTGCTAGAATTACTCAAATAATGTTAAACAAAACTTCAACATAAGTCTCAAAACCAGGCTCCTTAATGATAAGCCTCACAAATCATGATAGAAATGTCGTACCAAGGAATTCTATACAGAAGTCTTCAGGAATCTCAGAGAAATTTAACATTTGGATGAACTAATCAGAAACGAAAAAGGAAAGTGTGCTAAAGACTCTGCCAAGTTTTTTTCTCCATTAAATAATGAGAGTTTGAATGTGAACCATCAGTTCTAAGCATGAAATTAATTTTAGTATGGCCGACATGGCTGCAATCATGAGAACCCGGGAAAACACAAAACAACACTACAGGCACACAGATACACAGATGAACAGACAGGAATACACAAAAAATGTTTCCAAGTTCTTACTTCCACATAGAAAATGCTTAAAATTCATTAAAGTAAGAGTAATAATCAGAATGTTGTCTAAGCGAAGAATTACACAAAGTATCTGTAAAGACTCAAAACTCTAAGAGCTACAAAGAAAGGTCTGGTTATTCATCTCCCATCTTTAACACATTTCAATTCTTACTAATTAGGAGCCCCTAAGTTTTTGCAGGCCTAAGCCTACAATAGGAAGTTGATTTTAAATAGAGGTTCCTAGTCAGCCTTTAGTTTCACTGTACAGGATCCCTTTTAATTCTAATTTCTCTTCAGGTCTTGGAGAATGTTGACTAGGCAGGCAATATTATCTTCATTCCTTTTCAACCTTTCTAATTTGAGTGGTTCTTGGATTGCTAGCGGTTCTTAAACTGCGGGTCCTGACCCACAGGTTGAGACCCGCTGATGTAGACCCTAAGATCATCGGAAAACACAGATATGTATTACATATATTATGATTCATAACAGTAGCAAAATTACAGGTATGAAGTAGCAATGAAGATAATTTTATGGTTGGGGGTCACTACCACATGAGGAACTGTATGAAAGGGTCGAGGCATTAGGAAGGTTGAGAACCACTGCTCTATGAAGCAGAACGCTGACAGTTACAAGAAGGAAGGCTCAGACAGTGTTTAGCTCATATGACATGAGGCCATATGTGCTGAAGATGACCTGTGAAGAAGTAAGACACCAGAAGTGCAGGATTGGTTGGCAAATAATGATAATTTAGGTTTAAGTAGTACTTAGGTCTGGCAGCTTGAAGACCTCCAAAGTTAACTTATGTGTGATACACCTTTGGGGTGGGGGTGGGGGAATTTAACTTTTTTTTGGGGGGGGAAAGCCTAACTTTTCGATTGTCTACAAAACTTTTATTAAAGTGAATAACTTAGAAGGACTGGTCCTTAGAAGAAGCACTAACCCTCTACACATGAAGGGTTTATTCTAAGTGGAAAGACCCACCTGCACTATACTTTTATCCCAGGGGAAATAAAACTGCTTTTAACTATTATAATAGTGGAAATATATACATATACATTCTAAACATGATTTGAAAATGTACTTTTGCATTGGCCTTTCCATGTTATCAGTCGGTAGGCATGTAATTTATTAAAAAGGAAAGTTGGAACATAAAGCACACACAGTCATGGGGACTCACAGAACAAGGAATTTGAGCTGAACAAAACACCATCACGTGATACCACCACGCTTGGGCTAAAAGTATAGATGAAAGTGTGGATTAAACCTGAGCTTCAAAGGTGCTGTGAAAAGAAACCCATGTTGTTGCCGGTTCTCATGTTTGCAAAGTTTGGGACTGATGGTCAGGGTAAAAGGGATAGTTATTCTAAAGGCAATATCAACTGTAGAATCTACAGGAAAAACAACAACAACAGACTAATCCATCTTTATATTCAACAGTTACTGAGGATTTCATATCTTCCAGACACACGAGGGAGGTCTCAGAAATATCTATTTCTGGCTCCCATACAAGATGTGACCTTTCTCAGGTAATAACCGGCAAGCTTTTGATTTATGTCTTTCAACAGCAATAAATAAAAGTCCTCAAGAAGGGATTTGAAATTTTCTCGCATTTTTCAAAGTACAGAGCTAATGCCTTATCCAGTCATAGGTTTGAATTTAAACAGAACACTCCGATAAAGACGGTAACAACAAGCATGTCAGGCAATGCCATGACTGTAGGCCTGTGACTCCATGGCTCCAGCTGGTAGTACAGGGGAGAATTTTCTGCATTTCCAGGGAAGACCTCAGCAGGAATCCCTACATCAATCAACAAGAACCTGATTTTTTAAGACATTAAAACAGTTCTTCTTAATCCAGTTTTTAATTTCAAATAAAATGCCGTCTGATTCGATGTGAGGTGCCCACCGGGCCCAGAACAAGCACGGTGGTGACTGATGTAAAAATATCCCATTTGATAGCCCGGAAGCCTGGGCAAACATTCTTCTTGTTCATGTCCTTCCTGTGATGGCCGATGGGCTGCTCTGAAAGACTCCATTCAGCCCTCGTCTTATTTTTAGCTCTATCAACGATCATTTAGCAAAGATCTGACTTCAGAGACAGGACTTGCAGCTGGAATGCTTCGCTCAATGGCAGCTATTAATGTCCTGGTCTCAACACCCCCCACCCTGCCCTGATCTGGCAAAGGATCCCGATGGTCCCACCTCCCAAACCGAATCATCTAGAAAAAGAGGATGACCACAGAACTTTTCCTCCAAAGAAACAAACAGAATTTTACAGAACACAGTTGGGACAGAGATTAGGGTTTTTTTTTTGTTTTTTTTTTCTTGCATAGTAAACAAAAATGCTCATGTGAATATTCTTTTTCAAAAGCTTTTTGTTCAGAAAGCAAGCATGGCCTAGGAAGTAAGCACTACAGTGGTCAACTGTGACTCACAGCTCCACCCTGTCCACGGCTAACGGTGTCACCCTGGACCAGCCACTCAGTTTCAGTGGCATCATCATTGTAACAGGATCCATACTATTTTGCTCTCTGGAAGAGCACCAGGAGCTCTTTATGGCTTCGCAAAGCTTCACTACAGAAAGAAAAATCAAAATGATGACAAGAATGAGGGCAAGTTGGTGGCTTTTTGGTTAAGTTACATAATGTACACAGAGATGGCCACTTCCGGCCAAGATCAAGTAATGGGAAACAGATTAAACTAACACCTGTAACATCAAAAAAAAAAAAAAAAAAAAGGAAAAAAATATAGAATTATGTTTCTACACTATATTACACATCAGAGGAAGAACAGTGAACACTGAGAAATGGGAAACAGATGAGGTGAGCTCTGCATATGCCTAAGTTTACTTCCTTGAGTTTCTGGGCTGTGAATCCAGCAGAGCCTGAGAGACTCTGAGACTGAAGATATGGAGTGAGAGTCCGAGAGGCAAAGGTGGCTAGCAGTCATAGGAGAAGGAATTGGAGAGGAGAGAGCTGCTCAGAGAGAAGCCAGAGATTTGCAGATGATGCCCCTTGAGAATGTAGTTGACTACTGATTAGCGCATGAATGTAAAGAAACTAACTGAGGCCCCAGAACAAAAATCATCCAGAAGGATGAGAACTATCAGTGCCTGATGTTCACCCAAGGTTAGCAATAATACCTGCTTGTACTATCCGGGTGGGAAAACTCAACATGGCAGATTACTCGGGATTTTCAGATATACAAAAATGTCCAGCACTCAACAAGGTACAATTCACAATGTCTGAGAGCCAATAAAAAATGACTGGGCATGAAATGATGCAGAAATATATCACATATGAAAAGAAAAGATAATCAGGAAAAATACCCAAAGCTGACACAGATGTTAGAAGTAGCAACCGAGGATATTAAAAGAGTTACTATAATGTATCCTATTGGTTCAAAAAGTTAAGATATGGGAGATATAAAAAACCAAAGAGACAAAAACTCAGATTAAACTGCTAGATATGAAAACTACCAAGGTTAAGAAGGAAAATAGCCAGATGGGATTAATGGCAGATTGACCATCACTCCAACATACAAGATGATGTGTCAGCTTTCCTTGACCTCAGTGACATACCATCTGATGAGGGGGCTGGGCCAGGTTTCTGGTTCCCTGATTGCATCTCTACGGTGAGAGGGCAGCATCCCTGGGCTGGCAACTCACGTCAGGCCTTGCCCTCTGAGTCCCTGGGAGTCTGCCTGCCTCCTCCATGGGCAAACGTGTCAGCGACCCTGTGTCCCTTCAACCTTCAACATGGAATGAATGAACTCAGGGCAAACCTCTAAACAACAGTGCTCATGGCATTTCCCCAGGCCTCTTCCTCGGGGCCTTGCATGCCCAGAGCCCGGGGGCCCTTTGCCTGCTATGAGGCAAGCCCTACTGGAGGGGGGTCCTATCCAAGGGGGGACCTACCCGCGGGGGGACGGCCTGCAGCGCAGTGATGTAGTTCTCCAGGGCCAGGCGGCGGCGGTCGTTCAGCATGGCTTCCACCCTGGCCATGTGTGTCTCCACCAACTGCTGCCTCTCGTTGGCGGCCTCCTGCTCCAGCGACTCCACCTTCTCCTGGAAATGCTGCCACCAAACACAGGCACTGTCACTCGGGAATGGAACAAGCTGCATGGGGCAGCAAGCTCCAGTTGTTTGTTTATTTATTTTTAAATCTAATTTATTAATTAATTTTTTTTTTTTTTACAGAGAGGAAGGGAGAGGGATAGAGAGTTAGAAACATAATTGAGAGAGAAACATCCATCAGCTACCTCCTGCACATCCTCTACTAGGGATGTGTTCTTGACCAGAATCGAACCTGGGACCCTTAAGTTCGCAGGCCAACACTATCCACTGAGCCAAACCAGTTAGGGCAAGTTCGAGTTGTTCAAATGAAACATCAAATTTCATTTCATTCAAAGATTTCATAATCATTCCCAACTTACACTCCTCATTGTAAGTCATTATTTCATGCGGCCCCTGAAGACTGATTCGACTGATCAAAATGTAGGATGAATTTATGTATTCTTGAAAGTCTACATCACATTGCATATCAAAAAAATATTCCTCTCTTAGTCAGAGTTTTTTTAATTTAAGGAAACGACGTGATAATCTGTCATTTGCTTACAGTAATTTTGAGAGGGGCTGCGGTTAAAAATTCTAATTACACCACACACACACACACACACACACACACACACACACGTGTGTGTGTGTGTGTGTGTGTGTGTGTGTCTGTTTTTGTTTTTTTGCCAGAGGAAGAAGCAGAAGATTCTGGCAACCAAAAAAGATATTATTGATTGAAAAGCAGACTGCAAATAACCATGAGTTTTGTGGAAATGAATTATAACTTGAGCTAATTGGGAGCAAATAGAAGGCAGAGTTTAAGCAACTCAATTACTAGACAATGATGAGCAGTAATCCAGGCTGATGAGAATATGAACAATCCAAATGAGGCTTCAGCAGACGATGGGAAACTTGTAGGCGCTCCATGAATGGGGGAGGGGCATTGCTGGCCTGCACCCCTTGTGAGAATGGGCTCAGGTTTTTACCTGGATAACTGCTTTCTTATCAGCTTTAGGCAAGTTCTTTGCCTGGTGTTCTGCCTCCTCCCATTCTCTCATGACCTACAAAATAAGAAAACATTAAAATTTAAAATCAGTTCTTTTTCAAATACTGATCTAACGAGATAATGTTTTTCTCCTATATGTGACATTGTACGTAATTATCACATTCCAGTTTTACCTCGGTAATATTTGACCTCCCACTAAGATGTAAATCTACCCTGTTAGTACAGTTATCATAAATATTCAAATTCGTCGCAGCAATATGGCCCTTTGAAACAAAGGAGGTCTTTTTTCTTTTCCCGAGGAAATGCTGGGGGTCCTTTTACTTGATGTGCACAAATGTTGACGATTCATACACGGCATCTATTTCCGGAACAACCCTTTCTAACATTAAGTTGAACACATTGGTTTTAGTCTTTTGGAAAAGCAAGTTACAAAATTTCAAATAATATGTGTGTGTGTGGCAGAAGCACATGTAACATCTTGTGCATGTGTAGCTATACCGTGAACACAGTGCCAAAAACATAGTACATATGGGAGGGAGGAAAAGACTTTGGGAAAAACACTTCTGTTGTCAGAAACCTGAGATCCAACCCAGGATAATTAGGGCCCTTGGCTTGCCAACCCACGCTACAAACAGCTCTAGATCCTTCTAGAAAGTCTCAGAAAGGACACATTATAATGTTCCAAATGCAGCAAACAGTATTCTTGGCCAGTAATGCTAAGTGAATAACCAGGCTCATCGGTTTTGTAGAAAAACAAAATCTCCTCTTCACATCTTTGATGTTCACCTAGGATTTCCCTGAGACAAGTTCACTCAATGATCCGAACGCAGGACAAGTCTGCAGCTGTGCAGACTGTTGCAAGAAAACAGAGCTTCTTAACCACCTACAGCTGTTTAAGTGTACTCCTTGCCATCAACTGGTGTGGTGTTTTTAGTTTTTGTTTTAAAGTGCAACTCCTACTTGAGCTAGGTAAAATGAAGGACAGAGAGATCAAGAGAACAACATTCTGACTTGTTAACAGATGTTTACTGGCAAACTCGGTGGATTCCCAAACCACGAGACAGCTTGATTTCTTTGATTATAGGTATTTATCTCTAAGGAATCCCGATGACCTTCAAGATCGCAGAAAAAGGGAGGCAAGGAATAAATAACTATGAGATAACATCACATCAAATCATCAAGTGAGTTTTTAATTAGATACTTACTGTGTATTAGCATTAATTGGTTGTGTAACATACAAGACAAGTGGCCATATGTTGTTTTCATGAGATTATGGACAGAATAGAATGGGATGTATGCTCTACTACACTTGACAAGCATATTAAAAATGACCTAAAGAGCTCACAGCAAAATTGGGGAAAATGATCCATTGCTCTGAAAAAGAACAGAACACAAAAGAACAGAAACATATTGTCCCAGATATGTTGGTGTCTCCAGGAATTAATGAAGGGCATCCCGGGGGAAGACTACTTTTGCTCGTATGGATGAGATAAGCCTTACATTGCAAATATCTCAATTTCCTGCTTCAGGAATGTTCTCAGTGGCGGTATTCTACCATGAACTCTTCCGGCAGGAATCTCAAAATTAGTTTGAGAGAGAAGTCAAATGTTTCACTGGAAGGTGAAATACGTATTTCCCAAATTAAGTTTGCGCAATCTCACCTTATACATACAGAACTTTCATTCCGAGCAAAGAAATCATGAAATAATTAAGGAGACTTATTTAGCTAATAAATTGAAAACAGGCATTGCTAGAGAAATAAAATTTTGATTTTCAGAGAAATTTAATTATATCCTATACCCTCAGAAATAAAATAATTCACCTGTAACACGAGGTCTACTGCTGGAAGATAAACACAGACAATAGGTCCAACATCATCCTGTGAACAATGGCTTCCTCCGAGCTACACTGGTAAGAGATAGCATTACTGCTGACCTGCAAACTATCAGATCCTGTACTCAGTGTTTTACAAAATCTACCTCATTTCATTGATTCCTCACAACAGCCTGTGAGATTAGGCATGGCCACCCTTATTTTTGAAACAGGTTAAGTTACCTACTCAAGGTCATGAAGGAAAAGATCTGTGTGGCTCTCTCAAGTACCATGCTTTGGTCCCCTGTGGCCCTACAGGCAATGTTCTAAATGGCAAAGAAAATCAAGTTGTCTCATGGTCTGGGAGTCCACCCAGTTTGCCAGTAAACATCTGTTAACAAGTCAGAATGTTGCTTCTCTTGATCTCTCTGTCCTTTATTTTACCTAGCTCAAGTAGGAGTTGCACTTTAAAACAAAACAAAAACCGAAAACACCATGCCAGTTGACAGCAAGGGACAAAAAGTCTACAATCTAGCTAGAGAGATAAGACACACACACATACAGTTGAACAGCTGTAGGTGGTAAGAAGCTCTGTTTTCTTCCAACAATATGCACAGCTGCAGACTTGTCCTGCGTTCAGATCAGTGAGTGAACTTGTCTCAGGGAAATCCTACGTGAACATCAAGGATGTGAGGAGACGACTTGGTTTTCCTACAAAACCGAGGAGCTCATTTCATTTATATTTGGTGACATAAGGAAGGGCCATTCTTGGATGTTGATGCTTATCTTAAAAAATAATACATGTAAAGAAAGATCAACTTTCATTTTAAAGACCTTCATTTCAAGGATACATTGATACTAATAAATTCATAAGTAATAAAAGTACTTATAAGCTGTTCAGCATCTTATAGTTAATAGATTCTATTCATAATATATGGCAACAGAAATCTACAAATTGAGTTATGAACCACAGCAACAACAAAAAAAAACACCACACCTGAAATACCAAAATAACCCAAATTCTCTGTATTTGTAAGAAAACAATAAAAACTACAATAAAAATAGTTTAAAAAATTACATTTTTTAAAAAAAATTAGAAATGTTTAGGATCCGGCCTTTGTGTATGGGGCCAATCTTCTTATAAAGCAATTTCCCACTGCAGGGCAAAAGTTCTGGCATCATCTGGATTTATGGATCTTCACATACTGGCAGTTTCATGCAGAGAAATGACAACTAATACAAAGAGATTTAAGAGGCAGGCAAGCTCAGGGCCAAACAGTCCCCAGAATTCGGTGGCACAGATCACAAAGATAAATGTTGATCTCAGGCATATCACATTCCTGTGACCAGTTGGATCTGGCTGGCTGCATTCTCTGCTGTAAGATAACATCTCTTGCATTATCTCAGGTATAGCTAATGGCTAAAAGATGAAGAAAATCTATTAAAACTTAGACAAACTAAGTCATGTGTTAAATAGATGTGCTGAAATGAAGTTAAGTTCATATTCTGGGAGAGATTGATAATATCTAAAATTTGGAGAGCATTTGAAATCAGTTCTTGTAATAGGCTCAAAATGATCAAGACACATTGGGGAAAATAATTCAGGAATTTTTTTTTTTTTTTTAAAGAAATAAGGACTATTTAAGTGAGGTCAAGAAAAGATACACAAGGTTAGTAAGGTGACATAAACTTATAGGGACAAAAAGTCTACAATCTAGCTAGAGAGATAAGACACACATACATACACACACACACACACACACACACACACACACACACGTATGTATACAAAAACACTCACTAATAAAATTGGGGATCAAATTTGTCAAGCTGAATGAAAAGGCCAATGACTGCTTATCCCATTGCAAGGATTACATGGGGTGTAAGGAATGGGCGAGACTTATAACGTGAGGAGCAGTAGAAGGGCATTTTCAGAGAAAGTCAATGCCTAGAGCCCAGATGAGCTGAGCAAGCCCAGAGCAGAGGCCAACAACATTTCCTGCTGCCTGTACAAGGATGGCAGCAATTGGGGGCAGAAGAAAAAGTAGGAAGTCTGGAGCTGGGGAGCAGGGGGTTGGGGTGTGAGAATAGGCACTGGAAATGCCACACTGAGCATTCAGTATTTCTTCTTCTTTTTCTTCTTTTTTTTTTCTTCTTTTCTTAGAAGTGGTTTGTGAGGGCAATGGAAAACCCCTGAAAGATTCATAAACAAGAAGTGAGGGAGTCTAACTTTAAGGGACATCAGCTCAGCGGCTATAAATATGACTTGTAACCACCCTGGCTTTTGTAACAGAGATTACTTATCAATTTGGGTCTTTCCTAAAGAAAGATCCCATTTCTCAAAAGAACTGTTTCAGATGAAACATCACTATTCCAATATAGCTAGCTTTCTAGTTCCACTCGCATCTGAGTTTTCATTAAGGGCGACAACTAGACCTACATTGTATTCCAGAGCCCAAGTATTCTGATTTTGCCCCCTCCCCATCCCCAATGTTATTATTCCTAAGTAGCTCAGTATTGTGGTCATTCTCTTAAAAAAAACGAATTGTGCTGTGCCTTTCTAGATACATTAGCAGTTCTATGTTTTACAATGTAGGTTCTATTGTGGTTCAGGTATGGTGAGGCCAACACATCAGGAGACAACTACCAGGGAAAAGATAGCTTCTTGCTTAGTTTTCAATGTGGCACATGGGGGAGCACCAGAGTTGGTCGGAGGCAGAGAGAGTGAGAAGGAAACATGGATAAAAGCCTTTCTTGTGGTTTGTGAGGGAAGGAGGGAGGGAGGCAGGGTAGAGTGGCTACATGGACTTAGGATTGACTAGTTTGCATTTTGAGTGGCTGGTTTGCACGGGAAAGATGCGTTTGCAGGCCAGTCATTTGCCACCTCTAAGAACTGGCTCGCCCTGGGAGAGGCAGTCTCCTCAGGGTTGGTTAGGTCCCAGATATCAAATCATTGGAAAAAACAGAAAACAAAAAGGCATGACTAGTCTACTAATGACCTATGTTTATCTTAAAAGAATACATAGGGGACTAGATGAAATGGTTATGATGCTTCCATTTAGTTTTAAGCCTTTATGGTCTTATGAATGAGCTTTGTAAGAAACATTTGCTTCAATGATTAATCAGGTATCTCATACAAAAACAATCTTCAACACTAACTAAAGAATGTTTTAAGGGATTTTAATTTACAACATGATGGTTACAGGTACCATATACGCACAGGGTAATAAGGCCATGGAGAAGGTAGTAGACATTGAATTTCTGCTTGCCCAATCCTATGACACTTACTATACTTGGATCTTTACTAGGTAAATGATCAGGAGGATATGACCCTCCCCTCCAAATCAATACCTTGTAGGAAACATTGAAAATTAAGACTTTAAATATTTCAGAATCTAGATTAAAGACTCCTACCCACTCCTACAAATTTATTTGCCACTGGGCTCCAGTGGAGATTCTGAGGCAGAGGCGAGACCAGATTTTCCCTGTATTGTAGGGCTGAAGCACGAAAGAGCCACACTACCTGGGACATTCTCTCTCGGTGCTTGGCCTCCAGCCTCTCCTTGGCTTTCTGGAAGTGGGCATGCTCATTCTCATCTCCAGGTGTCTCGAGATACTTGTCCACGGCGTCAGGGGTGCTGGCTGCGGTCGTAGGAACTGTAAATGGAAGGGAGGAAGGTTTGAGAAGAGAAGCAGAATATCCGATCATTTCAAAGAAAGCCATATTTTCCATTACTCCAGAACAAAGAGTTTAGTACAGAAGCACACACACGATGTTAATGCTGTCGAAGAAAATACCATGAGACGCTTCCCAGCACAGCCAAGATGGGTGTTGCCCCTTCCAAGACTCAGGTGAAGGAAAAGCTTGAAAACTGGCCATTTTGTGATTATAGTATTATGTTTAAAATTCATTGCAAAATGATAGGCATAGAGCAAAAACAGTTGGTGTTTAACACAGACACGTTGTCCTAAATTCCTATGTTTTGCTAAATTAACTTTTGTCACCTTGAAAGTAAACAATGGTATCCATCAATTAAGATTCCTCCACAACCCAAAGACATCTCAAAATTAGCCCAATTGTAGAATAATTGCACCTCAGAGCAAAGGTAAATCCTACACTGTGTATTTTAGATCTCTAGATTACAAGCCATCTTTTGTGAGAAAATATTTTAAACACTATAAAAAAAAACACAACAACACACCTCAAAAAGTCAATAAATACATTTTTGAAATCATAGAAAGACCTTTCACTTTCACAAATGAGAACAAGTTTAAGTTCTTTTGGCGTACTACAAGCTGGCAGAATGACAGAATTAGGCAAGTCACATTTTGCATTTCGAATAAATGAAAATGTTTGGAGTCATATTCCCTGATTAGGGTAGCCACAGGCTATGTGCCAACCACACCATGGCACCCTCTTTGGAAAAGTGGAATTATTAATTGTTACCCTAGGAGTAGAAAAGTTCTCCAACTCTTGTGTACGGTGAGATACAATTTTAGAATAGTAAGAATACAAAAATGATAAAGAATGAGCATGTGCAGTCCATTGAACAGGATTACAAATATTTCAAGTATTAAACCTTTTTTAAGCACATGGAAATACATACAAAGACGGCATTATGTATTTATTCCATTTGATCGAGAAATATGCCTCTTCCAGGCAATCCTTTTTCATGACCTCTGTCCCTTCAGCTGAGGACTTAAAAGGGAAGCGGTTTCTCTTTTAATCCTCAATTCAAACATGTAAGCCACTGACGCTAACAATGTCTCTCAGCTTGTGTGAGCGAAGTGTTCCCGTATTCACGGCAACCAGCTAACCAGATCCCTCTCCAGCCAAGGGCTGAAGAATGATGACACCTCTTAATATTTTAAAACGAATTTATTACTTCATTGCCACTATCCTGCAGCTGGTGAGAGGGAAGGAGAGAACATTTTAAGGAGGACCTTGTGCAGAGAGCTCATCTTCTATTTCTCGAATATTCCTACATCCAGAAGACACTGTCCTACCAGGACTGGCTGCCATCGTGTGAAGTCCATGGTGGACCAGAGACAGCAATACCACGGGTGGTGACAAGAGCCGGACACCTGGGCCTTATGTCCCCACCCTTTTCAAGGCGCTTCCTTTGGGAAAGGAGAGGCTCAGGCTATGAGTGTGTTGTCCAGAGCACAACCACTTTGGTCGCTTGAACCACGTAGGAAGGGAAAATGAACTGGCTTTAGGAGGGTTTATTCTCGTGTTGCTTTTGAAACTTCCACAAAGCAGTTGGTACTGTTCAGACCCCTCTGCGGTTCCCTTGGTGTTGTGATTTGGGCCAGACTTCCACGTTGTCCAGATAAGAAAGCCCCCATTCATTAGCGGATGCTGTGCCAGACACTTGACACATGTTCTCACTTAACATGGGGGGGAGAAGAAAAAATCATCCTGCTACATATATGGCACAGAGGGGAAATACTATCATTTAACATACTCGCTCACATCCCCAAACACACACGAATAAGTCTGATTTTAGGGTTAGGAAAACCATGAAAAGGCTCTGAAGTTAATATTTAGATAGCGAAGGGCTAATCTATTGACATGTTTAGGGCACTGGAAAGGGTTTGTTTTGGTTAAAGAATAACATGAATTGGCCCAAAACATTCTTTGTTATGACAGCTGCCCACCCCCCTCCGCCCCCTCCATATGCTTCCTGGTGAATGACCTCTAACAAGCATTCAGCAGCAGCAGGATCATGGAACAGGGGGCAAGTGAAAGAGCCCATAGACCCTGCATCTGGACAATCTTTCAGCCACCGGCCCCTGCTCAAACCTGCTCATTCATAACTTCTGCAAGCAAGCTTGCTGGGTCAAGTCACCTTGCCAAAGACAACTAGACCTAAAACTCAGGGTAAAGCATGGTTAGCTCTCGGTTTAGCCCTCTAGCTACAAATCCTAGGCAGCACTCCCACCATCATATGCATGTGATTTTAGCTTTCAGGTGACTTTCATATCCATTTTCTTAGTCTCTTAGCAGCCTGGCAGAATGTGGCGGGGTGTATACCTGGAGTACAGGTGTCTATACATTAATAGAAAACCAGTTCCAGCTCCCAGCACAATACTGCCTCAAGGTCGTTCAGCTTCCAAATCCCAGTGGAATTCTGAATGAGAAATGCTTTTGATCTAAGCCTCAGCCCATTTTCTTTTTGCAACCCCGGAAGGTCGGAGGTTATTTGAGAAGCTGAGGCAGTAGCCAGCATGTTGACTTTTGCTGCCTTGAGAGCGCTTGTGCATTCCTTCATTTCTCCAAGTAATATTATGGGTTCTACTTTAGGTGAGGCTGGTAGATAGGAGAGCCCAATGAACAAAGACCCTCATCCTTGTGGAATTGTGTTCCCGTGAGAGAAACAATCACCTCAAAAAATAGTAACCCACATTGTTAAAACGTGATTTGGATTATGGAGAAAAAGAAAAATTAGAGCTGGAGGAAGGGGTGGGGGAGGGGAGAGACTACAGCAGTAGGGAAAGGAGGTGGCCAGGCTGGCTAATGGAGAAGGTGACATTTGTAAAAGAAGCCAACCCCCATCCTCCAGTTTCCTGCTGCAAGAACAGGGCAGGCAGGTAAAGAAACTAGCACGAAGGCCCTAAGAGGTGAGAGGGCCTGGAAAATCCCAGGACCAGCAGGATCAGCGTGGCATGAGCTAGAGAGAGAGAGAGCGAGTATTGAGAGAGGCAGAATAGAAATGGGGGACAAGAGCCAGCATGGGTTGTTTCAAGGAGGGAAAATGTGATGTAATGTGCTTTAAAGGATCACTCTGGCCCAGTCTGTGTGGCTCAGTGGTTGAGCTTCGACCCATGAACCAAGAGGTCCCCAGTTTGATTCCTGGTCAGGGCACATGCCTGATTGTGGGCCTGATTCCCAGTAGGGGGCGTGCAGGAGGCAGCTGATTGATGTCTCATTGATGTTTCCATCCCTCCCTCTCTCTTCCTCTCTCTCTCAAAAACAAAACAAAAAACAAACAAACATATTTAAAAGACCCCTCTGCTAAGGGACCAAGCAGCAGGAGTAAAGGACAAAAAGGAGGGTGGCTTGCAAAAGTGGCAGGGAGGTGAGGTGAGGAGGGTCTCACTGCAGGTCCCTCCCCTCCTCCTCTCAACACACACAGATCGGATTCACATCTCTCACCACACAACATGTTACCTAAACCACAGGTAACCAGATGCTAGGGGTGATATTGGTTTCACCTGGGTGTGAGGGTTCATTTCAGTTTTACAAACAATGCACCATGGCTAGGCACAACATTTCCACATCCTACTGCAATCTCCCCTGAGTACCTGCAGAGCTATTTTTTTGGAGGGTGAGGGGGTGAAGAGGGGTGGGTGAGGAGGAGCAGGTTTGCTTTCGGTTTATTAATCAAACCTGGCGCTGTCCCCAATGTTCCCGTCACAAGATACACTGTCATCACTGGGGACATAAGTGCCAAGGAAACGTTTCCGTTCCTGAGTCTCCCCTGAGAAAACTTTAATTATAAGGGAGGTTACTTCAAAACAAGGTGGAAATGGGTGTGGACAAAACCCAGTAGAGATCACCCTCCTGGTCCGTTGCCTGGGCCTCTGTGTCAGGCACACACATCGAATTTCAGTTTCCATAGATCATATACTTATTTAATTAATTAATTTTTCTTTTTTCTAGAAATATATTTGTATTGACTTCAGAGAGGAAAGATAAGAAAGAGAAACATCAACGATGAGAGAGAATTATCAATCGGCTGCCTCCTGCACGACCCCTACTGGGGGATCCAGCCCAAAACCCTGGCATGTGCCCTGACAGGGAATTGAACGGAGACCTTCAGGTTCATAGGTCGATGCTCAACCACTCATGTACTCATTTTAGTTCTGATTTTGTAACCACTGCCTTGTACTTCATTTCATATTCAGACTCAAGGCAGTAAGAATGTGGAGTCCAAAACTAGCCACATCATGAAAAGTTGCCCCAATCATTCTGATATTTGTGTGTTTCCTCAGTCTCTAGGGTGATATATAAATGCATAGTAGAATGGGCTCAGGATGCAAAAAGAGGAATAAGCCCAGCTGTAAGCTGTAATAACTGAGACCACCCACCCCAGGCCACATGGCAAATGTTTCTCTTAAGCAGAGGCCCATAAATGGCATCCAGTCAATACACTAACATCGGACGCTAGCAGGAAAATTTGATTAGTATCCCTTTGCTGGCGGAGAGGCAATGTATTACCCCAAAAGCACTGACAATAGAAAATGAAAGTGAATTAAGACCCACATAAGTCATTGCCTTATCACAGAAAATCCTATTTTATACAGAGCTAGCAACCCTGTCACTTGAAATGGCTGTGATTTATATGAGAGGGGGCCATGGGGGTAATTTATATAGAGGTGAAATGTAAACTGGTAGAGAACGATTTTAGGTGAAAATGTAATCTGAAAGCATGCAGAGCTTTGCAGACTGCCACCTCAACTATCTTTTTCTACAAAGGGGCTCCATTTCTCTAATTCCTACACAGCTAAAATCCCCAACGCACGCGGAACTCAAATATCTATCGCTGCCTCCCAGGCTGAGTTGGAGGAAGCATTTATTACATGAAAATAGTTTGTGATCCTTAAATGGTGGACACTCTCAAAAAAAAAAAAAAAAAAAAAAAAAAAGAAAGAAAAAAAAAAAAGAAAGAAAAAAGAACAAAGACACTTTCCCTGATGTGCCTTTGTATCATTATTTTATAGTCTGTGTGATCATGGCTGGCATGCCATCAATGCATCATGTGGACATAAGATAATAAAAATGTAATCTATGCCGTGTTTACTCTACTCTAGCCAAGCTGCATTTCTTTTTTATGCCTCATGGACCCAGACTGACGTGGGAATTTTGTTAATGATGTGAAAGGAGCGAGGAAGGATGAACGCAGGTGTTAGTTTTATTAATATCTACTACCTACCTAACACAGTGCACCAAAATGGAAAAGGACCCTCAAGTCTGAATCTAAAATATATATATGAAGCCTTAGTGGTAAGAGCTGGCATCTAGACTTCCTTAACCCTCGGCTATTGCCTTTTTCATCCGTTTGTTGGAAGCAATTTCCAGCTTCATTATGGCAGATCATAAAGGGGTGACCCGTCACGGTTGCTCAACACTCAACAGATGAGTTCAAAAAGTCAAAATCCTCAATATTGTCCACTTTCCTAGAAACTGCAGTAGGAAAAGCCAGGCGGAACTGTTAGCCTCTGTGGAGGTCTTAAAGGATGAAGCCAGGTTCATTGTACTCCAGCCTTCCACAGCAAGCTCTTCCTACCCGTGTGTATTTTACTTTATGTTGTTATGTAATTCCATCACCTACTTGGGTCTCATGGCACCAATGAATCTGTCATGTTATTAAAACAGGGTATTTGGTTTATTTTGCCAGTGTCCCTTAAAAACACCAAACTCATCACCAGCACATCTGGGCTCAAAAGTAGCAACTTTATTAAAACCAGAGTTTGGCCTGCTGGTCTCTTTTATGCAATGTTTTATTGGACACAGCTGGATCTATTCATTTAGCCTTTGTCTGGGGCTGCTTTTTACATATGCTCTACTGTGTTGAGCATGTGTAACAGAGACCATATGGCCTACAAAAGCCTAAAATATTGACTCTCTGGCCTTTTAGAGAAAAAAAAAATTGCCAATCCTTTCTTAAACTGCTTACTCTTCTTTGCAGATAGCTAAAGAATAGAGCACATATATGATGAACATTTTTTTTTTTTTTTACTGTCCTGAGTAAATGAGTTTTTCGTTTTTCTCTTTAAATGCTGGTTTGTAGAGCAAACCAATTATTTTCAGTTTCTTAACATGATAGCTTAGAAGAAAGGGCCATTCTTTTGATCCTGATCATTTCTGGATACCAAAAATGTAGCTTCTCATACTCATTAATCTAAGAGGTTGTATTGGCATATAATTTAATGCACCACCACGTCTTTTAATGCTAGTAATAGTTTTTAATAATGCTTGGCAGTTTTATAAAAATATCACAGTTCTGTTAGAATTAGGGAATGTGGCAAATGGAAACTAACAGGTGCCATTTTGCAATCGGAAGAACAAGTATGTTGTGGTGAAGAACAATGGGTCAAGTCAGGCCAAAGACTAAATGGCCTGGCGTTATGACAGGACAACTCTGCTAGGGTGACCCATTCCATTCAAAGGCCACACAGGGAGTTATCTACAGTTTGCAAATGCGAGCTTCTGAGGCAACAACCTTAGAACCTGGGATGGTGGTGTGGCCTGATTTGACATGTTCTCTGGAAGAGGATTAGTCTATTCTATCTGGGCCACATGGATGGGAGTAGATATCAACTGTTTCCCCTTCCCCAATCCCACATGAGACCAGATCTGCACCTGTACAGAGACCCTATGGTCATAAACACACATATAACTAGGCCACATGGCATCTCTACAGGTGGTCCTTCTCTAGCACATGCAGGGACTGTGAAATGAGGAAGACATGCAACTCCTACCTTAACTTGCAAATACTGAGAGCTACGATAGTGGTCTCACAAATTCAATTTCATAAACATCTGTTGAGAACTAGAGGCTCCTGACAGTCTAACACTTCAACGTGCCGCCAAATGCACGGAAAACGCACATATTTACAACAGCCTTGTCATATCTCTGAATCAGGTGTGGGCACATCACTAGTCTACATCAGAGGGTCTCACTTGGGGGTGATTTTACCCCGGCACATTTGGCAAAGTCTAAAGGTATTTTTAGTTATCGCAGCGAGGACGGTGCTACTGGCATCTAGTAGAGAGATAACAGGATGCTCAACATCCTCCATGCACCCACTACATGGAATCATCTGACCCAACGTGTCACAGGGTCGAGGCTGAGACCTTGCTTTAGGTGTTGTTTCTACCACAACTCACCCCAAGGGAAGGAGCAACATGGGTCATTGGTCATTCTCATTAGTCAGAACCCCTGGTGTAGTCAGCTGACTAAAAGTTGGCCTCATGCTCTTTGTGAGATGAAATGCCATTAAGGAGTCAGTTTGCTTGCCATTACAGACACAACCTGGTCAGGAAAGTACTACAAGAAAAAGATCATGCTCTCACTTGAGAAAAGCTAATCTATGAATATTTATGTAGTAATGTTGTTGTTCACAAACACTGCACTGGGCAGACTGAAGGTGAAACTTATGCACTGACCTAACCCCAAATGGGCAGACACAAAAGTCACCAAATGGGGAGTGGATTTTTAAAAGGATTCAAATCTTATAATATATAGTATAGAGACAAAATGAAAGCTCTCATATCTGTTTCCTTTCCGTCAGTGATTTAGATTCTTCCTTGTTATAAAGCCCCAAACTCAGTGTCCCTTTATATTGCAATGTTCAAAATTGTTTTCTATGACAAAAACTTTAAAATATAGAAATACCTAATTATAAGAAGTCTTGACAGGAAAATTATTGTATTTATAATGCAGACTATCACACATTTTCTCTGATGTGTGCAATCTTATTTCAGTTTAACTGGAAAGCCTTTTCTATCTCATTTCACATTTATGATTTGACTAGAAGCAACTCAGACTGAGAAACCCGTAAAACCAACCACCTTCGTGAAGAGATCATGAAGAGATGCCCTCCAATGTGGCTGGTGATGGGGTTCTTGGTTGGAGAAGGAGCCAGGTGCAAGCCCAAGTTGCCAAATCAAAGGGGCTTGTCCATCTTTCTAGTTCTGGCTCATTGTCTCCAACTCCAGTCTGCTACCTGCGTTTGACCTCCAGATGACCATGATTTTTTTCAACTCAAATGTGCAGCTTTGCTATAAATAAGATAGTATAGCTGTGCAGGCTATAAATAACTAGAAATTATATGCTTTCCCCAGTCTGTTTATACTAACACTGCAAAACCCTCCCCTTGCTGTGGCTGAATGGCCTCTGTAGATAGACTAAGAAAATATAACGGCAAAAATCCCACTTCCCCCTCCTAGACTAGAAAAGAGTCAGGGTCCCAAACACACTACAAATAGATGGAGAAAGCTACTGGGATGGAGAAAATAACAAAAAAATAATGTTTCAATGTCTGTTTGGAAGAGTTGAGGACACAAATACTTCAAGAAAATACATTTATCTAGTAATAATGTTCATTTCCATTACCTAACGAAAGTGGGAAAATAACAAAATCATTTTGTATGCTAAAATAATGTCAAATAAAACTTAAAGTAAAAATAATTGTTTTGTAAAAGGGTTGAAAGACATTTAATTTATTGAGGCATGTTATATTCATGGCATTTATGAAAAAGTGTTTTTAATATTTTCCATCCACTTTCTATACTATCTACTATATTCTTAAAATGTGCTTCTAAACCTCAAAAAGTGTTTTTCTAATATAGAAAACAATATCAGAACCAAATAGTAGACCATTTGGAGTATGGAGCACAGCCATAATATTGTTTAAGTGTTGACCTGATCCTGCCATTTTGATTGCTGGGGAAAAGTCACTAAACTCTTCATGTTCTCATGTGCACAAAGGAAGTGAAGAAAATGCCCACAGTGTTCCTGAGAAGAATAAATGGTCCATGAAAATGCCATGGCAGATCAATGTATTATCCATCTTACATGTGATATCTATATTTCCCCCTTCTCTTTCTATGTCTACTCACTTCCAATACTTGCAATGCTCTTAGAAAGAATGCTTTTTCACAATAGGAAATATGTTTATTGGGGTAGTAAAAACCACACGCTCCAAAGTTATACATAATTTGAATGCATTTGAATCTTATGAAGGCCAGTGAAACACTTGTCTGCTAACATCTTTTGTAAACTACGTAATTCTTCAACTATAATTTTTTCTTTTTTTAAAAAGGATAATTGTTTTAATCAATTTTGAGACTATTTTTTTTTCAGGATAATATAAATAATATAATAAATATAAAATGTATAATATAAATAAAAAAAATTTTCTGTTGGTTACCAGAGGGAGAGTAGGGTGAGGTATACACACTAGGACCTGTAGTTAGTACAATGCGTGCACATTTGCATATTGTTTTCTGGGAAACAAGTCACTTATAAACATAGCCACTGGTTAAACCCTGGCACCTGTGAGCTTTAAGAAACAAAACAGCGATGCCAAATAAAACACAACAGCAGTGTGTTAGATACAGTATTTTATAGAACTACACTCACTAAAAAGGAGCAGCTTAGTCAATGCCATTAGCTGGATAGCTGAAGTTATCTGGCAAAATCAGACATCATTCAAGCAAGGCAATGGAAATAGACATCTTATTCAAAGACAGGAAGGTGTTCAAGAAACAGAACCATGCAAAGAAGGTGACGATACTGGACTTAAAACCAGCCATGCACCTCCCCTCCTTCCCCTCAAGTGAATTACAACGTACGTTTAACAGCAACTTGGGAAAGAGGCTCCTGGGTAGTCTTGAGTAAACTTTGGGACACTATGGAGAAAATAAAAGAGCATAACTAAAAACAAAAATAGAAACATGGGAATGATGGCTGAAACTCACTCGCATGATTCCACTAACCAAAGGAAAAATCAAAAACAAAGTCATGATATTAAAAACAAAAACTCAACCAATATCCTGAGTTTTGGCCCCAGCTTGGACCCAAAGTCAACGGATAAACAGAAGATATATTTGCACATAACACCTTGGAATCCGGGGTACTTTGTCTCTGATAGCACATCAAGTCCCCTGGTGAAAGGTGGTCCCTGGCTCCCCTTGTTCCTGAGGGCTCAGCGTCACCAGTTCTCTTCCACGCATTCTCCACGGCATCTCTATGGCTTCATCCGTTCACAGGGCAGCCCCCAGCTCTCGGCTCTTGGCTCTGGATATTTGTTGAAGCTTTACTCTTCACTTATCCGCCCACCTTTCTAACCGACCCTCAGCCTCTCCCGTTTACTTTCTTGATAAATTATTCTGTAACCCACTTCCCCTGAAACTGAGCACTGCCTGGCTTATCCATTACATCTTCCTTGGGGGCATGAACTTTCTGTAAATCTTAGCAAAATGAGTGCCATCGAGGGAGCCTCCAGAGGCTCCATCTGAACTCTGGTGCCTGCTGGCTGCTCCCTGAATCAAACTAACTGATCAACTGGAGAGGGTATGTGTAGGGGCTGCTGTAGGGTTTGTTTTGTTTGTGTGTGTGTGTGTGTGTGTGTGTGTGTGTTTTGGGGGGACGGGGGGCAGGATTCATGTTTCTAACTCTTGAGGCAATTCCATCACTGCTAATAATTTTTTAAAACCCTCTTTCTTATATGTTATGTACATATAATCCCCCCCTCCCCCCACAAAAAAAATCCACCTTGGAAAAAGAAGGAAAAAATTGGAAATATGCCAGGAAATCTCCCTCAGCAGCGAAACCAGTCAGAATCTCTCTCACAAGGGCCCTTTGTTCAGAAGGTCCAGGTGACAGAATGCCCCACGTGTTCCCGGTTACCTGACCTAATTAACTTCTTTGTCTGAAACTGAAGAAAGGAGTTGTTTTTTTTTTTTTTTTTTTTTTTCCCTTTGAAGCTTCAACCATCCAATCCAAGCCAGGAAAGATGCCCGTGGGGCTGCCAATTCCTACACCTGTTCTCACCTGGGACAGCTCTTCCACAGGAGACCAACGGGAACTTTCCCATTAGATTCCAGTGGGATACTGGGCTTCACCAGAGAAGGTAAAAAAGGTGCAGGCCCTGGTTTTGGTTAGCTTAAGCCTCTGGTCACGCCAATAACAGTTATATAATCCCTATCATCCTCACAAAGAGGGGAGAACAGGCAGGAGCCTTTCAAACAAAACAAGTCACAATTATTGAATTTAATCTCCAATAGATCAGGTTGCATAACTATTTCTTGAGTAGTTAAAACTTCCCACTCACACACAAAAAGTAAATAAAATAAAGCTGGGGACTTAACGTGGGTGGCTGTTGAGAACAGAAGTCTGTATGCCGCTGTATGACTTCCTGGACCTACGTCTGTGGAAGAAGTTTCAACTCGCAAGGAAGTCAGCTCGACTTCATTTATTTACACACACACACACACACCCTCTCCCCCCCCCCCCCCCCCCCCGCCTCAGAGACAGGAACAGCTTCAAGTTCAAGAGGAAAGGCTTCAGAAATTATATTCCCTGAGCCTTATGTCCTTGAAAGTTTCTAATTTAAGTCAAGAGTTGTCATCGATTTCCAAGAGAAGACATATAAATCCAGCATTGCAAATGTCCACAGTGAAGTCAGGGGCCACAGGGACAGTGCCCCCTTCTGACATTTGAAGGGCATGTGCTCCATTCAGCCCCATTCCCTCCCCACCACAATAGAATTCCCACGTAATAAAATGTCTCCAAAATACTCAGTCATAGCAAATAGGCCTCACCCATGCAACCGAAGCATCGTCAGCCGGGCTTGCAGTGATAAACCTTATTTGCACACGTACAGACCCAAACACACACGTACACGGACAAACACATATGTATACGTTTGCAGAAGAGCTGAGAAGGCAAAACAGCAACCCCAGCTTGGCTTAGAGAGAAGCCCTCGAAAGTCCCTAGAGATTGCAAGACGTGTGCACCACAGCTAGTCAGAGAACACACCATGGCCATGCTGTGTAAGAGAGACAGAGAGTCGGAGATGTGTGCTCATGGTCGGACATCCTGGAGGGGATGCCCGGCCATTGGAGAGGTGGACAGAGATGGGGTTAGTGGTGGCACCAGACCCGTCCCCAAGAACCAGGAAAACCCATCTGTTACGAGGGAGCAGAGTCAGTGGCGAGAGAGACGAGAGGTGGGCCAGGCTGGAGGAAGGTCCACTTACTGACGCTGCCACACACGGCCAGGCAGTACTCCTCTGTGTCAAAGTTGTTTCGGTTGCCGCCGCAGCCGCCGTAAAAGAAGGGGGCGCACTTCCCCTCGGTCACATCAAAGTACCAGCGGGAGATCATGGCTCGGCACGGCCCCGTCTCGGCTTGTTCAGAGCACACCTCTAGTCAGAGGAGACGTGGGGAACCACATTTAGCATGAGAAGGCACTGGATCACTGGTCACACGCATGTTTACTTTCCTAATGCGTTAGTCCTCTCACTGGGCTTACTGGGCAGGGTCTGCCGAACAACCACTGAGGAATGGGGTGACCTGGCAGGATTACCCCGAGGACAAAGCCGTGCATCCTGAGCTGGCTGACTGTGCGGCCCTCAGGGGTAATCAGAGGGTTCCAGCCGAAGGTGAGCCAATCTTTCAGCTGCTTTAGGTGACTATGAAAGGTATCTGCACATCAAAACCTTTCTTCACTTTGAAAAATAAACTTTGCCTTTAGAATAACTTTAAACTGACTCTGCAGGTGAAAGGATTGTGTCTGGGGAGGATGCAAAAACCTTAATCTCTCACGAATATCTGACTTTCTTTAATAAATGACAGCCTTGACTTGAAGCACAGAATGATTACACGTTTTTTGGAAGATGATCCAGTTTTCAGCTGTCCCATGACCGATGGCATTTGAAAGTATATGTAATATCTGCCAAGGTTATTTGCATTTCTCTAATTAAAAAAACACACGATTATTTGTGTATTTACCTGCCCCTTGAACAATAAGGTTCCAAACAATAAAACATAATCAAGCAACTATAATTTGTTAACACATACCATGCGTTGTTTTACATTCAAACACATCTTACCTGTCATCATGCTTTGACACCCTCCCAAAGATCAGTTTCTTAATCCCTGATTGACTCAAAGTGTAGTAAACATCCCGATTTCATTTTGCTTTGATTAGAGTAAGAAACCCACCTTCCTTGCATTTTCCATGTATGTCCCATGGGTATGCCAGGCTGCAGGTAGGATTACAGACAGCCTGCAGGTACCTTAGCACACACACGTGTCTTGCTTGTTCTTAGCTATACTCACAGAACATGGGAAAGCAACCTTCTTCTAAAAGATAAAAGCCATATAAAACCCAGAGCTTCCAAATGAGGAGTATTCAAGTCTGGCCATAATCAATTACTCCAAGATCCACAGGGATGTCAAAGAGAACTACTGTTTTACTTCCCCATACACACCACGCATTGATCTTTCCAACCAAGGCAAAGAGCTGATGGCAAAACCACAAGCTGCTGCCATCACGATGGTCAACAAAGTTGGGAGGGACAGTCAGCACTGAACCCCAGAAGATGAGTGTCAAACTCTGCAGGAGAAATGTCCGATGCACAGCTATGTAAGATGACTCCTGCTCCCTTTAGATGGTTTTCAGATGGGACCACCAGGCTCTAGGAGCATCAAGTTCAATGTCACTCATCATTAAAATCGTCTCATTCAGTCCTGTTGCTTTGAAAGTCCATGATCTCCAAGCAACACGATTTAGTTTGTTTTATGCATAGAATTCTCTTGTAAGACAAAAATCTGCCAACCTGTTGAGGTAGGTATCCCACCCACAAGGCAATTCAATTTATCTTCCCCAAATTAAAGGACTGGCATGCTGATTTATAGAGGGTAACTTAGTTTTGGGGGAGTCTGATCCTCTCTGAGTTACTGACAAAGCAGCTTCTGGGCTGCAGAGTGAAAAAAACCAAGCCCCAGGTGTAGAGTATCTGCCAACCACAGCCACCAGCTGTCTCCACTCCTGGAATTTTCCCTCCTTCTCTGTATCTCTCTCACCAATTTGTACACATGTTTCTTTTTCTAAGAGGCGATAACACTTCTCATTCATCTCTTCCTCAGGCAGTACTGATTCCAACAAGAATGCAAGGCAATGGTGTGTTCTGAGACTCCACTTGGTTGACTTTGGAACTTGAGTTACAAGTGGCCATTCCCAAGGAAGGCACAGAAAGTATGACCTGAAGTCACAGAGCACAGACAACAAGTCACCATGCCGCCACAATGCAAGCTGATCCTCACATTATATATCTCTCTGAGCACTAAACACATGCCTTCTGACGCCTGTCTGCCATAGGCTCCATTATGCATCACAGCTCTGCAGGGCAGAGAGCATGCCTTTGCGATATCTCCTATGCACTAAATAAAAGTGGCAGAATTTCAGGTGGGTACAAGTAATGAGATGAAAGAATGACGATCAAAGGAGATAATCTGTGATAGTTAATTGCCCGGTATAAACTAGTAACAATCTCTTACTTCTGATAAGAGGCAAAACCTCTCAGTCCAAAATTCAAAGGACTTTATAATATACTTTTGTTTTCCTATACCAAGCATGAAACATAATGACACATCCATTTTTACAGTATATTAATTTTATTTTTCTTCTGTCTTTTTCTAAATGGCTATGAAACCCTTTGTTAGAACTGATTTGTAGAGCCCCAATCACTAACAAAAAGCATCCAGAACTCAAAATCCATTTGGATGCCAACTAAGTAAACAGGAAGAACTATAAGATGGGTCCCCTATTCCTGCTGAAATCTCCCAGAGTCTGAATCCATCAAACAGAAAAAGCAATGGAAGAATCACAAAACCTCCATTAGGAGAATGTTTTGTTGGCTCTTGAGATATTATTGTGGCGGCTGAATTCCTGACCTCAAATAGTTTCATGACCTTGGGGACAATGTTTCTATGCCTTTTTGATCTTTGTAAGGTTGTTCCTTGCTGAGATCTGTGCAGGTTTCAACACTAAACTGCCTTTGGTAAAAACCAGTATTATACAAACAGAAGGTAGAAGCCGAGTGAGAGCTCCCTACATTATATAAAATGGTTATGCAATTCATTATCCAAAATATAATGCTTAATCACACAATATTAACTCTGAATGGATTTCAAACTGGAGCAATTTTTTTGTGGACAACCAAATTAGAATGCTAATTTTACACTTTTTAAAAAATTCAGCATGAAGATAGCTGTGAAAGTGTCAAGCTAGAACAGGGAGAAAAATCCTCATTTTCAAATATATGATAATTATAGTGCCATTTTCAAAAGCAAAGTTAACAGATTTGCAAACAATTAGCTTTAAATAAGCATTAACTGAAGAATAATTTTAGAAAAATAGAAAGCTTTTTATTTCATTTTTAATAATTAAATTTTAATTATTCTCAGATTATAAGAATGTATGTAAAAGAAAAGCCTGTATTACATGAAATGTATGAAGTTTAAATTTATAAATAGCAACCACTTGAATAATCCAACTTACTAATCAAAAAGCTAGGAATTGAATATTCTGATATTGTTAAAAAATTATGAAGCATAAAAAAAAGTTATGAAGCATAGTTTCTCCAAATGCTGCAAGAATATATGCACAATTAAAGTTCATATAAATATATCTACATTCCTTAAGTTAAAAATTACACATTTTGCAATTTTAACATAGAAAGGGTAAAGGAAAGAAGACAAATATAGTTTGATCTCATAAGTAGCTGTTTAATGTTAACAATAAAATAAAATGAAAATAGTGACAAGGAAACTGAAATATACTAAATATGCTTATATTTAATATTTTAAATCAGTGTTTTCATATCTACTTAATCATACAATCCATTAAAAATGAAAATAAATGACCCCAATACCATTTATACTAACTTTAGATTTTAGCCTAATTAAGTTATTGCTAGTAGTGCTTTAGGATGAAACTTCATGAGCCTAAGTTATTAGAACCAATCTTATATTCTGTTAAAGAATGAGTAGACAGATTGTGTTTGATTCTTATGGATAAAAATTTTTGAAAAACCAGCCCACTAGAAAACTGGTTATTTTTTTAAGAATTAGAATTTTTTTTTCACAACAATAGATACTTTTAATGGGAAAGAGAATTTATAAAGTGCTTACAAATATGAACAAGTACTCATAAAAATCAGACAACAGAAAATTCCTCTGATCAGGGCAACAAGTTGTCAGATATTTATTACCTGCTAATCATATTTTACTGAAAAGAGCCATGTAAAATTAGGCAAGCAGGCTCCCACTAAAGTCTCATGACAAATCTCATGTAAGCCTGAAATATGGGCTGAAATAAATAAACAAATGAAGGGAACAGCTGTGCTAGTAATGAAATCACTGACTCATTATGATGGGTGCTAATTTGTCACGGAAGTCTCTGGAAGATATGTGCAGTAGACTTGCCTTTAACTGAATTGTGTTGATTCTCTCGGGCTATCCAATACATCTATCACTCTAAATATACCTGACCTGATTCGCAGGTCCCTCCATGATGGAAGGTTATTTATAAAACGCCACCTGAGGAGATGTACTTGTACAGTACACGTTTAGACTATTAATCAGCACTCTTGTGTCCATGGTGTTGGAAAGCACTGACAATAGAGTGCCACTATGACTTCCCGATACCTTTGTTTCCTCTTTGTTGTGGAATAAACTTGTTTTTCTCTAAGCTGTGTGGCTAGTCTGAAGCCCAACACAGTATGACAAGAAGCTCTAAACTCTGAATGAGACAGAAGAAAGGGATTTTTCTAATTGAGTCTGAGGGAAGATATGGTTGTCTCCAAAAATCAAAACACAATACTGACTTATACTGTTTGCCAATGTCCATGGTGTCAATAATCCTTCCATTGGAATGTCATGCTACCAATGGTTGTGGCTCACAAAATTCTTCAGTACTTTAATACCAGCTTTTACAGGCTAGTAGGAGTCATCTGTACCACATCAATGAGAGGCAACGGGGCACAAATGAAACTAAGAACAATTATATAGGGAGGGAAATTCTAAGACTTTTCTAACTTGCTCAGTCTGGACAGTTGAATTATTACAAAATTGCTTAGTGGATAGACATATCAGGGTTCTTCCATACTTGGTGACATTTGACAATATATTAAGTAAAACACCATAGATAAGGAAGGTTTTCCCTTTTAGTTTCTTACTCTCTACCCCTACCTCCTAACTTTGCACAGTATGTGGGACATGAAATGTTACTAGAGACTACTCCTGGAACAGCTGTCCAAGGACCAGTAGGGTCAGGATCACCTGGGACTCAAGACCCACACCAGATGTACTGACTCAGGATCTGCGTTTAGCAAGTGCCGGGTGACTTGCATGAATATTAATGTTTGAGAAGCACCATGATCAATAACACCTTCTTTGTGCAGTTGAAATGTCAAAAATTGATATATGAGATTCAATTACTTTCTAAAGACCAGAGGGACAGGATTAGTTAAAGTTGCATAGGTTTTAGTTTATTAAAAGAAGCTCATCATATCTAGTAAGTGAGCAATATAACATACTTTGGTAGAGTTGTAAGAGTCAACTAGATATATGTATCAGAAACTTAATTTTGCCCTGAAGTTCTGTCTTAAAGAACATTAAAGCAGCTTTAATACTTTTGCCCTAAGTCCAATACCAATAGTAATTTTCTTACTCATAGTTAAGTCTATGAAAACTCAGACTTTTCAGAAATCTGAACTTAATATTGTTCTTGCAATATGCCATAACACTAGAAATATCAAACTTTTTATTTTCATTGGAAAAAATAATGAAGCAAGCTGACAATCCAGGAAAGACCACTGGGCTTAGACTGTACCTCTTTTATACTACTTCTCTTATTGAAAAAAAAAAAAAAAAAGTGGATGCCACATTTAAGTCTTTTATAATTAAAATGACAATTTGTTGGCTTATTTTTGGCATTTCTAATTCATAGTAAACATTACTTCTCTGGAGGATCAGAATACATAATACTTATAACCATGACAACCGTAGCACCTTGTTGTCATGGTTATGTCTACCAGTAACTGTACTAAATGTTTCCCATGGATAACTTCAATTAATCCTCACAAAATGATTAAAATGAGGTAGGTATTATTAGAAACACTATTTTACAAAGGGAAGCAATGAGGCCCAACTGTTGTACAATTGACACAAATTTACATAGTACATTGTAGAGCCAGGATTTCACTCTGAGAAGCCTATTCTTATAAAACAAATTGAAATACCATGGGCCAGGCATATATATGGTCAGTACCTAAAATGAATCATCTAAAGTAATTCTTATAACCAACATGCATCGACATCACACACGTGAAACACACTTGCCAAGGTTACTTAACTGGCCATGCCAACATAATGGTCAAAAATCCTCTCTCAGATTTTGGACATGCTTCAGTAGGAACCAGTTGAGCATTATGATGAAAAATTTATATGAGTATGTTAAAAATTTATAGGACATTACTACAATAAGTGTTAATAATTTTAAACAGTTAAGACTATAAATGTTTTTTCTTTTCTGTATAACAGTGGTTGCAATATTAATGCCTGAAGTTTTCAACAGTAGAGCTTATTTTTAAAAATTCAACATTGAGATAAGAACAATTTTAAAAAGATATCTGAGGTTTTAATGAATGTATAACTGGCATATTATTGAAAATTAGGCAGAAAGTATCAATTCTTTAAAGTTGTGCCCAGAAATCATATAAAGCAGGTGAGAATACTGGTTAGAAAATATTCATATACTATTGTATTAAATTGTTAAGTTCTAAACCTGAATTTCAAATTTTAAAACTAAAAACATAAAAAAAGAAAACAAAATGAAAATAAAATAATCCTCTCTCAAACACTCTACTTACCTAGTCTGCCTCTAACCATAACTAAACTACCTTCATGGAATGAACTAGGTATGCAGTATCTGAAATAGAAAGAACTTGGTAGTATTTTCCTAATGATCAGTATCAGAGGTTTTTTATAAAGGCCCAGAGAGCAAATATGTTTAGTGTTGCAAGTTATATGGTGTTCACCCCACTCTGCTTCTGTAGCATCAAAGCAACCACAAATAATGTGTAAACAAATGGGCTGCCTAGTACAAGCTTCTAATTAGATGACAGTGGTCGCTGACCTTTCAGACCTCACAGACCACCAGTGGTCCATGGACCACCTGGCGATCACTGAATTAGAAAATATGGCCATAATTTGCTGATTCCAGATCATTATGCTCAGTGTGAAATGGCAGTAACACAATACGCCTATAGCAAAGGAATACACATTTATAAGGGAACACAAGGTAATCTGAAACTGGGTGTGTTTGCAAGCAAAAGAGTAAAGTTTTGACATGACTGTATCAGCTTTGAGCTATTAGCAATTTAAAAGATAGGCCTCAGTTGCCTCGGCTTTAAACGGGGAAGTCAAATTTCTACCACGCAACAGAGTTACAAGGATTCAGAGACGGAACCATCACCCTAAAGGGCAAAGGGTGTGGTGATTCTGAAAACACAAGAATCCCAGCCCCATCATATGATCCACCGAGCTTAGGAAATGGCTTATACCAAACAGGGGCTCCAAAAACTGATGCTGAATAAATGGACATTAATTATTATATAAATAGCTGTCTTGATGGAGACACAAGAACTTCAATGTTATTGCAGATTACTAGCTGTTGTTAATTTGTAGTCACATGCCTTTCAGGTTTCAAAAAGAAAAGCCCTAAAAAATGTCTTTCCCTAACTAGGAAAATAGAAGCTAACAAGTTCATTTGGCCAGACCTGTCCCAGATAGTCCTACTATGGTGTATGAAAAAGATGTGGAAAAAAATTTCACGGGTATTGGAAAGCAGTGGATCAAAGTGTGCATTTGCTTACACGTATATCTACTTACACAAGCACTAATGTGCTAAATTGAATATAAAGTTGTCATTAAGTAGGGAATGATAAAAAAAAAAAAGACCTTCTTGGACTAACTCTTCTTTTTAAGAATATGCAATACCTACAATGTTTTAAGCTAACTCTGAGCATTCAACTCAGAATAATCTCAGTTCTAAAAGCTACAAGTTGAAGAAATGTATAACCTCAAGAACACTATGCTAAGTGAAAGAAGCCAGACACCAAAAGACCACATAATCCTCCTTCTATTAAATGTCTAGAAAAGGAAAATCTGCAGAGACAGACAGTAGTTAGTAGTTGCTCAGGGTGGGGGTGAGGACAAGGATTAACTATGAATGGTTGTGAGGAGGAATCTTACTGAGATGATGAAAATGTTCCAAGATTGGATTATGATAATGGTTGTACAATTTGGTAAATGTATCAAAGCTGCCGAATCACATACTTATATACTTAAAATTAGTGAATTTCATATGTAAATTGCACCTCAATAAAGTTATAAAAATGCAATGAAGAGAACATACCATAGTGATATTTAGGAATCTCTGTGAGGCAGAGAAAATATCCCATTTAATCTTTAAAATATAACAACAGAGCCAACATAATTTTTACCTTAATAAAAAGCGACAGGAAGACTTACACTGATGTAACATTTGTGGGTAGACATTAAAAGTATTTGCAATATATAGAAACTCAGTAACTCCCTCCAGATTCACTAGATCTAATTCTAGGACTATCTTTTACTATCAGTGAAACATGTAAATTCAGTTTAAGGAACGCAATCCAAGAACTCACTAGTTGCTACAATAACATTTGGTTGTCAGCTCAATGCTTGCTTTTATTTCATTGGGACAATGAGGAAGCCTTGGAGCTTATGCAGTTCCCAACATCCCTGTAGGAGTATTCATTAAACAGAAAAAGAAAGTTAACCTCTCCAAGAAGCCACTTTCACGTCCCAAAAAAATAAAGACAACACAAATCAACCAAGTTAATTTTCTCAGCAAAAGGTCAATCGTGTAGGGAAAGCCTGGGGTTGGGTGGGGGCTGGTGGAGGGGGAGCAAAGTGGAGAAAATGTGGGCATTTGTAATACTGTCAACAATAAAAATAAATTTTGAAAAATTGAAAAAAAAAAAAAGGTAATGCTATATTCGCCAAATTATCCCTTTTCTTTTTATTTCTTTTATTTTGTGATTTTTTTTTTATAGAGAGGAAGGAAGAGGGATAGAAAATTGGAAACATCGATGAAAGAGACATATTGATCAGCTGCCTCCTGCATACCCCCTACTGGGGATGTGCCCGCAACCAAGGGACATGCCCTTGATGGGAAATGAACCTGGGACCTTTCAGTCCGCAGGCCGACACTCTATACACTGAGCCAAACTGGTTAGGGCAACTATCCCTTTTCTTTTTTTGTGTGAAATATAATTGCAATGACTCACTCAACTAATATTTATTGAGACTTTTTGTAAGCTAGGCACTCTGTGCAATAAAGTAAAATCTAGTCCATGCCCTCAAGCTCATAACCTAGGCGGTGAAAAAGGTAACACACAATAGAGTGTCATGTACACCTACTCTCAGGAAAATATCAAGGAGGTCACCTAACTAACAGCTGTTGTCAACACTTTTTAAATGGGGTTTTGCAGAACAAGCTGGGATTTGCCAAGCAGCGCATACAAGGTACAGAATAGACTGTGTCATAAGAACTTTACATTCTAGGAAATGAATTGCTGAACTGCTTGCTAACCAACAAGAGTTCAACAAGCCTAAGACCTGCTGTTTGAATTTTATTTTTGGTTGGGAAGACAGTGGCAGTAGACTGGATAGAAATGTCCAATGTTGCTATGATGTTTTCCTATGATGTTTTCATTTTTCCCAAGAAAATCCCTGTAAACAGTGGATTACCTCGGACCACCTCTTCCACAGACTCTGTGGTTGTGGTGGTGGTGGTGGCGATGCTGGTGGTTCTCTCCGTGGTCTCTTCATAGGGTTCTTCAGTATCTTCCTCTACCTCCTCACCATCCTCATCATCTTCATCGTCCTCAGCTTCTTCTTCCTCGACATCAGCCACTTCCTCCTCCTCTGTGACTTCCACGACTTTGTCTTCACTGGAGTGGGAAAGAGAAGGAACAGCGAGAGTCATTTAAACAGGTTTCAGAAAAGAAAAAACAAATCAACAACAGGAATTCTGGAAATTTGAAAGGGAATGAGCGCTGCATTAAAAATGCACATGAGGTGTGAAGCCAGCAGGTCCAAATATGAAATGGGAGGGAAGGGATACCAAAAGGAGTTTATTGAGTTATGGAGAAGATTTCTTATAATGTATACCAAATAGAAGTAGGTCTGTAACTTTTTAACCCTTGCCCACAGCTACTCTTAGTTTATGCAGTTGAAGAAAGAAGATAACATGATTCGAACTATCTGACATTCTGGAAAAGGCAAAATGATAGAGACCATAAAAAGCAGTGGTGGCCAGAGGTTTAGGGTAAGAAGGAAAAGAAGGAGAGGAAGACTCAGTGAACTTTTAGGGCAGTCTATTACTCCATAAAATGCTGTAACAGGGGACACACAATGCAAATGCTAACAATGGAGGGAATGAGGGGAGGGGGCCATGGGAAAGGGGGTAGAGAGGAGGTCTCTACTTCCTGCTCACCTTGTCTGTAAACCTAAACTTCTGTAAAAACTAAAGTATATTAAATGGGAGGGAGGAGATACCAAATGGAGTTTGTGGAGTTATGCAGATGACTTCTCATAATGTATATTAAAATACCACACAGCATCTGCATATAAATACTCAAGAAGTGTAGGTGGAAGTAGATTCAAATATTGCTATTAAAAGTTTAAACTGGAAACAAAGAGGGGGAAGAAGAAATGGCTTAAATAAATCTGTGATACCCCAGGGTCAGCGATGCCTACTAAAAGTCTATAGTTGTGCTCTTAATGTTATTACTTGTAATAGCTTTGGAGACTATTGGGTATTTAGTGGTTCTTAAATTTCACTGAGTATCAGAATTACCTGGAAGGCCTTAAAACATAGACCACTGGGCACCTTACCCAGAGTTTCTGATTTAGTGGGTCTAAGATTCAATCTGAGAATCTGCATTTCTCACAAGTTCCCAGATTGATGCTGATGCTGGTGTTCAGGGAACAATATTCTGTGAGCCATTGAAATATGCAATACTGAGAATAATAAATAGTAAGGGAACCAGTAAGTCACAGTATACTTGGGAGCTAGAGCAGAAATAATATTTATGGCAATATATATAGTAATACACATTGCTGAATTTTAAATCAGCAGTTTGGGAGACAAAAGAAGGGCACATCTGGAACAAAATTACAAAGTCCTACTAAGATATCCTTTTGGCAATCACGTACTTGCCAGCGCAGGAATGGTTAAGAGCATTTGAAAGATGATAAATGAAGATAGGAATGAAAGTGTTAAATGGTGGAAGCCCATCACATACCACTGAAGCATAGTGGTCCCTTCTTTGGAAAAACTGCTGTTTTCAACTACTGTTATTCTTAGACAGTCTCTAAGTTGTCCATAGGGTCAACTCTGTTATTTTTAGACTTTTGCTTGCATAGAAAAGATAAACTTAACTGTCTGACCTTACAAGCTAGCCCTCTAAAGGATCTGATACACTATATTCATTCACATATTCTGCCAAGTGTTTGTTCATCCAAGGTTACAGATGTTTGATGAGATGTAATATGAACTCAAAGTTACAAGTTGACTGTATAGATATTACAGATGTTTGATTAGACATAATATGTACTCAAGGTTACAAGCTGTCTTACACAAAGAACTAGAAGGATATAAAAAGGAAATACTCCCTCCCGTGTTTGTTCAGAATTTGACAGAAGTAATCTGCTCTGAACCTTCGCACAATAAAGATGGCTCCTAACTAATTGGCTCATCAGGCGTCTTGTCCAGCTCGCAGATTTGTGATACACCACCATCTGGCCAGATAAAGGAGAAATAGACGATTCTTCCACCTTCGGATGACAAAACCAATACAAGAAACAGACATAGAGGTGGTGGGGGATTTTGACATAACAGAGCTTCTGCCCTGGGTCTTATTGGACAAGAAGTACCACAGAACAGGACTGAGGACTGTCATTTGACATTTAAATCTCCCCAGAAAAAAGAGACAGCTGGGGAGAATTATGACCTCAATGCTGATTCTTTTTTTCTTTTTCTTTCTTTCTTTTTTTTTTTTTTTTTAATAATTTAATCTTTTTAAAAAATATATATTTTATTGATTTTACATAGAGAGGAATTGAGAAGGACAGAGAGTTAGAAACATCGATGAGAGAGAAACATTGACCAGCTGCCTCTTGCACACCCCATTCTGGGGATGTGCCTGCAACCAAGGTACATGCCCTTGACCGGAATCGAACCCGGGACCTTTCAGTCCACATCCTGACGCTCTATCCACTGAGCCAAACCGGTCCCAGCTCAATGCTGATTCTTGCCTGCAAGGAGAAGCATATTGATGAAGAAGGGAGCGTAACCTGGAAAGTTTGTGTCAGACCCAACCCGGAGCCTTGGAATGCTAGTGTGAGTTGGGCAGATACAGAAAATCAGATTTCAAATATATTGGGACACAGAACAGGTTTCCCTGATCTAGGAAGACAGAAAGGAAGACGGAGGCAGGCTTTCAAAAACTTCAAGTCTGACAGAATAGCCACAACTAATTTTGCTGAGAGTGGAAAAGGAAAATATATGCGCAGAGATGATATAGCACAAGAAGGAATTTCCATTTCTAACTCAGAATTTAAAGAACTTTTATAAATGAAAGGTCAATAAAAATGTGCATAACCCCCAGTGAAATGCCTTTCTAATTCTGATTAAATATGACGCAAGGGGTAATAAATACAAAAAAGGTGGTGAAGCATGTTTCTAAAACATAGAATAAGGAGAAGCTTACTAAACTGTGTAACATAATAATGAACTATTAGTGTACTGACAAATGAAGTGTCAATACAGAAGACCTTGCCCTAGCCTGTTTGGCTCAGTGAATAGAGCATCAGCCTGCAGCCTAAAGGGCCCCAGGTGTGATTCTGGCCAAGGGCACATGCCTGGGTTGCAGCTCGATCCCCAGTAAAGGGCATGCAGGTGGTAGCCCATCACTGATTATCTCCATCATTGATGTTTCTCTCTCTCCCTCTCCCTTCCTCTCTGAAATCAATAAAGAAATATATATATTTTAAAAATCCAGAAGACCTTAATGGGTTATTTTAACATTTCCTAACCAACACCATGGATACCTGTTCTCTTTCCCTAATATGTTTAAATCTGATTTCCACAAAAATGAGTAAGAAGAGGAGGAAGAGAACACATTGGCATTGATCTTTATCTGCTTAGAGATAAATGGGGTGCACTCATTGATTTCTTGACTACCTGAATTCCTGCACACAAAAAAATCTACCACTTGAGACAACATCTCAAACAAATCCTAAACTTAACAGTTGCTCAGATGCCCCAAATGTCACCCAGTATACTTCCATATAATTTGTGTCCTATAGAATCTCAATTTCGTACTGCTTATGAACAAAGATAACCGACGCAAGTCATCAGCCAGTTTATTATACATGAGCTCTTTTATGCTGTCAATCAAACAATTGGCATCAATGCTAGTCATTTCTCCAAATTAAGTGGAAAATTCAGATAAATCCAGGAAGTAAATCAAATGAAACCAGTATTCTTCTTAAACTATGAGGGTACATGAGGTCTTTAGCACAAAGGGAGTGACAGGCGAGGATCTGGTGATCCTGGGTGAGGACAGCAAAGTGCTTCCAGGTGGGAAGGTGAACACATGAGCCGGAAACCACCCTCAGCCTCCTCTGCTGTGACCTGAATGTCGCATAAAGCTCCAAACAGAAAGCCTGTGTTAAAATGATAGAGGTATAGCCATGAACGAGAGCGGAATACGCCCGTCTCCACCATCACATCTGCCTGAGCAGTTCACAGGCATAATAACAAGAAACAGGCACACATAATGGTTCAGCCGGCGGGGGAATTAGATTACGAGGCCTAAGAGAACCCAGGCCCGGTCCTTATTACCATAGCGTTGATTTCTGGAATTAAATTTAGATGTCCATGAATCCAGTTAGCTATTGGAGCGCTATTAAAACAGTAGCACACGGTTATGTTTTAACACCAAACACGCCAACATGACCACTGCCAACCAGAGCGTTCATAAACCACAAGAAAGACAGAAAGGGGAAAAAGTGATTTTTCCTCCTCCTCTTTTTAAAAAATACAAGTTTTTATTGATTTCAGAGAGGAAAAAATAAATCCATTTTAATAATGTTCTTAACCTCATCGAGGATAGAAAGTGCTTAAGGAGTTTATTATTATTGATTATAATAATTACTAGATGTGTAATACTTTCAAAAGACCTAATTAAAAAGAAATATGTTACAATAGCCATGATCATCTAACCAGAGATAAGGGATTAGTCATTATACAAAAAGGTAGGTTTTCTCTCTGACAGTGTGAGATAATGGGTGGGGAGTGATTGGACCAAGAAAACATTGCTAATTAAATGTTGAGTTCTCTGTGATAAGATCCTGCTACTAGTTCAGACGAAGAGAGGGAAGCATCATGTACTACAGCTTGACTTCCCGTTTTAGGGCTCCAGGAAGCCAACTTCTATAAAACCCACTTCCAAATAAAGATCCAGTATGCTGTTGATTGTCATATCAAGCAAAGGACATCTCTTTGGGCATAAAACACTAACATGTGCATCGTGAGGCAAAGGAAAAACAAACAAACAAAAAAAGAATGTTAAAAGCCAGCTTTACATGTTAACAATGGGGAATTCCATCTAAATGAAACTAGGGGATTTCCAATGAAGATCCTCTTCAAATGTTGCTTTCGTCAGCGCATTTGTGTCTGGAGGTACTATTGCCAGAAACAAGGATCTGAATTTTCTTTTATTCCCACTACTGTTTATTTTATTTTTATGTAAGCAGTTTAATTAAAAGACATTGGGGGGTGACACGAGATCTTTCATGTGTCCATGGCATCCAATTCTCTGCACCGAATAATCCAACTCTCCAGATAATCCCTACAAAGGAGCTGTTCCCCAGGACTTGTGAT